GCCAGACATTAACAATAAATCTTGAAAGTAGCAATGTTGCTTGCAAGTAATTTATAGTAGATCATTTAGAAATCCGAGATGTAAGTATACGGTTACAGATTCAAGGTGCCTGAATAGACATTATTACAGACTTAAAATATCATGCTTTAATTTGTATTTAAATAATTCTGTATTTAGTCGTGTTTAGATCTTACTGAGATCAAGTCAACCTCTGCGTTAATCTTGCCTAGAAAATAGATTTATTCATCATTTAATAAATTGTCACAGTCTCTGTGCTGCGTAACTACCAGTACTTCAATTTACTTCTATTAGATTAATTTTTTGGCTGTGTATATATTTATTTATTTATTGTAATATTTGGTAACTTAATTGAAGAAGTAAGTACACTTTCTGAGCTATAAAGGAGTAGTACTAGCACTATAATTCCACGAATTGAACTAGAGCACACTTGTATGACTTGAAATACTGCGGATACTGGATGCATCATGGTATCTCCCTACCTAACTGTAGCGTAAATTGTGTTAGTTTGTATTGTTTGATTGAAATAAGTCTTACTATCTTCTAAAGGAACGAAAATGAAGAATCTAATCCACATAGGAAAAGATTAAAAAGAACCGAGCAAAAATTAGAAGGTAATTTTGACAATTAATTAATTATAGAGTCATCGATGATATAATTTCGTTGAGTAATGAATCAAATGTTAACAACTAGCCATTAATTAACTGCTGTCAATTGTTATAGAAAGTGTATTGTGATTCTTGCTATATTCAGCATGTAGACTTGGCTATAAATTTACTATTGTTTTGCACCAAGGAAGTTTGTGAGGCTATATAAAAGCCTCAAAGTTCTTAATTGAGGGAGTTGTGAGTTCAATCGGTCATTTTAATAAATAGCTTTTAGAACATAGTTTTGATTCTTAGCGTGAGTATTCTATCATCTAAGACTCAAATCTAAGTTTGGTAGATTAAAGAGAGCTTCAAGTCAGTTGCTTAGATAGTTGAGACTACTTTAGAGGAAAGAATCCTGTTAATTTTTATGTTGCGATTTCGGTTGTGACAGTAATATATGAAATTTACTAGCGTAACTTACAGTAAATAGAAGTGGAGTTGACATGCTTCCGGTTTTTATATTGATAAGTTTAATTTACCCAATTTAATTATACTATTATTTTATTCTTTACCAAAGATGGATGCTTACAACATTATACTGCTTTGGCTGCTGGAGTGATTTCATTGTATCTTAGGTGGTTTTCTTCTCGATCTTTCAAACTAAGTGAGGATAGTTTAAATTTACCAACTCAACATTCACTTGGTAATTTAAAATCAAATATTGCCTTTATATGTCTAAGTATAAGCATTACTCTTGGGTTAGCCTTATTCTTAATGTGGAAATTTAGTAGAAATAGGATTATAAATCAATCAAGGAAATTATTCAAAACAATTTAATTTGGGGTTTATAGACGTATTTTCAGCGCTAATAGAATCGAGATACTTCCGTTTACGCTGAAACTATTATCATACGTTTTGAACATTCTTAAGCCAATAAAAACTTTAAAAATGAAACTCTAGACTCTTCATTCTCTAGTGACGAATCCTTCACGGAGATGCCTTTGCTCTTATGATAAAGCTTCAAAAACACCTTGCTTACCAAATTGTTAGCCATATTTTGACATTGGACTGAGAATAATTCTTGGCCGACAGATCTAAATACTTAGCAATTTTTTAATGATACTGAATATCCAATAATTAATTCTTAAAATGAGTCTCAATCTACCGATTAAAAATTTCAGATTTAATAGTTCTAGAGTGATGTCTGATGGGCATAGTTTGTTACTCTTACTTTCCGTGCATGAAATGGCAAAATAAATGAATTAAATTATAATTATCAACTAGATCAATTAGATTGTACCCGCACTATGAGCGATAGTTACCTATATCCTTATTCATCATTGAATATCTATAGTATATAATTAATCCATGCCTATATATTGAGTCCTTTAAGCTATCAACATCTTTTTTTTGCGAATACGCATCACGTGCAAAATCCGAACAAATCATTTTAATATATAGTAAGGATGATTTTTTGACAATCTATGTAAATTACCCGAAATCAAAGGCGCCCAAGTACATTTTGCTGTACGGTCAAGTAATAACCACTAAACGCCAACTTCCTGTCTCGTTTATAGCAATTTCTTTGGTTTCTGAAGGCAGCATATGGCAACAATTTTTCGCGTACATTACTAGCCATGAAGCCATATAATAGCAAACTGAGAATTTTACCGTGTATATATTAAGGATCATTAAATCTAGTGTGTGAGTAAATGATCTAAATCGTTATTATATAATTTACTGTGAAATTCCTTTTTAAGAACTTCAGAACTGAAGTTAAAGTTTTGCTAATATTGACAGATATTCATGTTACATGAAACAATAACATAGATAATCAGGAGAACGAGATGAGAAAATATACAAATCATATTTTGGGTACTACGTCAGATATGCAAATTGGTGTCGGATTGCGCTTGATAGCAGTAAGTAGTAGTATTTTAGCTGGAGGTGTAGCCTTTAGTTCAGAACTATAGAGCTCATCCTATTTTATTAGAAGGCGAAAGGGCTTTAAATGCTAAAAAATGCATGAAGCAGTGTAGTCTTTTGGTTGAGCTTCTACAGTTGGCGCTGGAAGCATGTTGGGTAGTGCTGCAATATCAGCAGCGACGACTGGTGCTACCAGCAGTAGTAGGGCAATAGTTAATTACTACAAGAATCTAGTCTAAAATCGAAAGTATTCCGAGCTCAAAGCGAAGTACAGTTTCTTCTCCTCCGTGGGTTCATCTCTGCAGTTTTTTATAAACATTTCGTTAATCCATTTATGACAACTTGATTAATCTACAATCAGACATGAGTCATCAAACAAAATACTTTTCTCTAATAATACATCATTATTTCTATAATCTAAATCTCCTACTTAAGATGTCAGTGCTCTTCTATTAACGTCTAGGCCCTTTCTTCGAGGGGCATCTTAACAACTACAATTTTTCTAGCTACATAAATCTTGTACTATGATTACTCAACTGGCTACTATAAGTCATCGACAATAGCTAATATAGTAGTTAGCAATCATCTTATATGAGCTTGACGATAAGATCCATTCAAAGTAACCGAACTATATCAAATATAGCTATCAGTAGAATCAAATATAGGTGCATCACTATAAGTGTAGATGGAGGTGGTCGTTGAGAGTTCATCGATAGTGTAGCACACAAATTATTCTGGAAGAAGAGTATGCTTATTCTGAGCAGGAAAATTGGGATAACCGGGCTTACCTTTCGCTGGAGTGGATAGCTGCAAGCCTGCAACTGAACTCCTATGTCGGCTTCAAGCGTATTCATTGGCTAGTTAATGCTTACGTCATCGCCTATCGTACGTTCTGATTGGTCTAAATAAAGGGTTACGCACGCGGCACAAGATTATTTTAATATATATATACGTATATATAACATATATATTGATAGATATATGACATATATATAAAACATATATATAATGATGATATTTTAATAAAAGTATAAATGAAAAGTATTGCTATCTATGCTGTACAACCATTTCTATATACTACAGTGAACTCAAAGATTAGCCAGATGTCGGTATACTGCAGTAAACTGCATTCGCCCGTTAGTTTTAGTTCCATTTTTCCCAGGTCAAAGTATCTAAAACGAAATTAAAGACGCTGAACCCTTGCGCTCGTGATCTACAGTAGTGTACTGCACTGTACGCGTAGACTGCATCGAAAACGAAGACGGCCATTCCTGGAAATGACCAGATACAAAATGAAAATGCATCCAAAGACCCTAATATAGTCAAAAACGTCCCCCAAAAATGAGTTTGGCCTTGTTCAAACTCAACTGTTTTGGGGCCATTGAATCACTCGGCTGTCAATCTATTAACATATACACTATTATACAGTATGCACTCTACAGTGTACAGTACATCTACTGTACAATGTCAAGAAGTTTTTAGGGACTGTACACTGTACACTACAAAACTGTAATACTGTACCAAACGGTGACTATACAATACAGGAAGTCAGTAACAGCTGCAGATCTGCAGGAATACTTTCGAACGTTTATGGCGATTGCTAATCGTTGACGAAGAAAGGCGAATCATCTTATTAATGAGAAGGTTATTCCAGTTGGTATTGATCTAGCTGTAGAAGAAGAAATAAAGCATCCTGATAGCAACCTTATCTTCATGACTATGGTTGTGGCATAGGAGATGCCATCGTTTGTTTAAATGATCGATTAGATTATCATAGTATGTCTTCCAGTAGGAAATCACGAGGAAAATTATGATGTGCCCCCCCAATCGTATCAAATCTTCACGATCGCATTTAAAATGGATATCGCGAAAGCGCGGTTTATGGACTTTTATTAAAATTATCTTATTCTTAGTTGTCTTGATTACAATTGTAGTCAATGTATGGCTTGTACTTAGTGAGCTATTACAGAATAGGCCGAATACCGATTATTCCTATGATCATGTAGGAAATCGCCAATCAGCTGATGGCTACAATAAGCAGAAATCCGATACAGCCAAAACTGCGGTTTTTATCGAGGTAAATTGAATTGGAATCAACGACAACTTGATAATAATGAATGAAACTGATTGCAGTACGCCAGTTTTTAGACTGCATTATGGGTGGCATCGATTTACTGATGACGTGATCATATTGCCTTCAGTTTGAATTCAATCTTTTACCTTCAAGGCATATTAACTAAATACAGTAAAGACATGCAATCTTTGATCATGGATGAATTCGAAACTGTTGAATTTATTTTAATATAGAATATTAATAATAATGACTGTCTTTCTCCAATTTTATAGGTACTATCTAGTCGAAAAAATGCTTCTGTCGCTATTGATGGTACTGTCGTCTTGCAAGCTACTTCGGAAAAGGAGCGAGGAATTCATATTCTTGCCATTAATCAATATAATGGTGCTGTTATGGCTGCTCGAAGATTCGATACTTATGCTGGCAAAGCGGACAACTTGATGATCCAATTTATCGATATGGTATCCGATGACAGAATTTTATGCTTTACTATCTTAGATGAAGGCACATTTAGCATCCGAAAGCATGCTCGACAAGCACTAGCTATGCTAGGTAGTAAATATGCGTTAACGATTAAATGGAGAGATATGTGGACAATGATAATCGCTAAAAATGGGGTCCACTATGCTGAAGCACGCGCTCTTTCACCGAAATTAGATGAATGGGCCAAGCCATGTAAAATCTCTGCTCAAATTCAGTTAAAAACGAATCAAGAAAGAAGATGTAATTGGCCGAAGAATGATGAAAACCGGCGAAGAGCTACATTATGTAATAGATACGAAGGCTATGGACGGTTATGTGCTTGTAGTAATCCTCAGCCGATTGATATTGCTTCACCTTCGTTACTAAATAATCGAGTTGCCAATGTGCCTGTAGCTGTTATTGCTAGTAATCGACCGTATTATTTGTTTCGAATGTTACAATCGTTATTATCAGCGAAGGGTGCTACCAAATCTCTTATTACTGTCTTTATAGACGGCTTTTTTGACGAGCCATTAGCCGTATGCAATTTATTTGGCATTCGCGCTGTACAACATAAGCCCGTGAGTAAGCGTAATGGACGAATTGCCCAGCACTATAAAGCCAGCTTATCTGCTGCTTTTGACTTACATCCTGAAGCTAAATATTTGATTGTATTAGAAGAGGATTTAGATGTGTCCGTAGATTTTTTTAGTTATTTTAGTCAAACGCTGCCCTTAATTGACGACAAAGATATTTATTGCATATCCGCTTGGAACGATCAAGGTTATAAGCACTCTTCTAATGATCCTACCCGATTGTATCGTGTTGAAACTATGCCTGGGTTAGGGTGGATGTTAAAAAGGAGCTTATTTAAAGAAGAACTGGAACCTCATTGGCCCGGACCAGAAGCCTTTTTCGATTGGGACATGTGGATGCGGACTCCTACTATGCGAAAAGGGCGTGAATGTGTAATTCCTGATATCTCAAGAACATTCCACTTTGGATCCCAAGGTGTCAACATGAATAATTACTTTCAGGATGCCTATTTCACAGCTCATAAACTGAATACGGATGCCAACGCGGTCTTAAGAGGTATTGAAGATCTGCGCCAGAAGAATTATGAAAAATTAATGCATAAGTTAGTTCAGAACGCTGTCGTATTAAATCACGCCATATCCCCTTGCCATCACGATTTTGTACCAAATACTACTGATGTAACGTATGTTGTATACATTCAAATGACTAAACTCTCGGATTACGAAACCTGGTTGCAAATTGCAAAATGTTGGAAATTATGGGACGTAAGTAGCAGTTACTCTTTTATTTCTACTTGATACATAATCGAATTCAAATTTTAAAGTGATTGTTCGTTATGAAGGTTGACGTATTATCTGTCTAATTTCTGTTTTATTGTTTCTTAGCTTGACGTTCGCGGATTTCATAAATCTACATGGAGACTATGGATTAAAAAAAATCCAATTTTGATAGTTGGCCATCCAGTATCTCCTTATAGTTCATATAAACCTAAAAATATAAAACCGATATTCATTAAAGGCCCGACAAAGCCACCCAAAAAAACCTAGTGCTATATTTCCGTTAGAGTATAGTATTCTATAGGGTATTTGTGATGAATAGTTATTGGAATATTACTTCTAGAAAGAATTTTTAATATTATTGTATAATATGGCAAGTTTGCAATGGTATTGTATTAAAGATTAAGACTGCGTTAACAAACACTTTGTAAATGTTAACTTTAATTTGGAAATTATCTTACTGTAAATTTATACTGATATAAGTGAATAGGGAGATCACTTACTTGTATCCTATTTAGCCCGATTAATACTTGAGTGAAGTAGATCAGATTTTAACAGTTAAAAAAATAAGTATCCCTATCGATATTCTATCCTAATAAATCTTGGATTTCGAAATTTTTCATTACCTAATATTGTACGTAAATTGGACATTATTCTACAAACTAATTTCAAGAAATTAAAAAAACAGATTGTAATTGCATAAATGGAATGTCATAATAAGATAAGCTTTAAATGATTTCTTAAAGTTTGGGGACGATTTAAAGTTTACTTATTAGACCAAGGATGTTACATTAAAATGCAGAAAAGTCAGTGACGACAGTTGGTTCAAGTAGCTATATTCCAAGTTCTATCATTTATGTTGAAGATATTAAATTTTATTTTTATGTTATGATTTCACGTGACTTGCTGCACGTACAAAAACATTTTAAAGAGCATATAAACAAGCTAATAGGAATAGATATGTAAATTATACTTGCGATATCTTGTAGGTATAACTACAAATACGTAATTGTTAGACTACAATTAACCGTTAACGTTTAAATTAACTGCTCAACGTGATGCTTGACACAGATAGACAAGAAACTTGCATATGAGACCACAAATTTAGCGACCATCTGACCGAAGATTCTTATTAAAATTGAAAGTACAAAACAGAAAGTAGACTACCGGGTACTAAATCGCAATATTATATAAAAAAAGGGAACATGGATGTACATTGTGCGATAATGTAAAATATCCTAAACAATCTTTTCCATTTCGCGAGCATATTCAAGTAGATATCCAGATATCTTATTAGTATTGACCGTAAAGACATCCGCTTCATGGTTTTCGTCATTTTCACGTAAAGTATAATATGTTTTACTGGGGTCAGTTTTCCAGCCTCTCTGTTTTACAATCATAGAAATGATAATAGTTACACTTACAAGCAGGTACCAGATGTATACAGTAATAGTAATAAAGTATAGGCTACTTTGCATGTTATGTAAGATATAAATTCGAATCACCTTTTCTGTATATTCTTCTAACTCCCTCTGATTATCGAAAAAAAATATTCTACCTGCCTCTTTAAATAGTAACGTTTTATAAGCCTTCTCAGCGCAGTCAGCAATAGAGTCCCTTCGTAAGTAAAAGCATTTATAAACATTAAACCAATTATCAATCCGCTCCGATATGCTTACTATAAATGTGATGCACGATAAAGCAAGTAGCAAAGAATTTCAAAGTCTAGCAACGTCACACCTCATTGTGTTGACTAGGATATCCATAAAAAAGTTATAACTTTCAGCAGGCACATTTCCGCGAGCAAGGAAAACCTAAATGAGCACAGAATCTATAAATTAACTACCATTTTTTCAATGATGCAACTTATTGTACAGAGACGCAATAGTACACGGGTTACCTTATTATAGCTGCCTTCCATTAGGTACTATTTAACATCATTGCAGCCAGTCAATATAGAAAGTGGTGAAAACAATTTACAAATTGAAAATCTCAAAGTTTTAACTAAAAAACATTTAAGTTGCTCGACTTAGTATGACTAAAATATAGTGGCAAATATCTATGCATGGTTACTTGTATCACAAGAGCGTTTTAGCTGACTTATCATTTCCAGTCATCAAACTAAAACCAATTATATCTATATAATTATTACAGGATTTTTGTTATACAACTACGTGATCCCACCTGTTCAATTGTTGTTGGATGTTTAATATAGATGTTACTATAAATTTCTGAAGGAGGTAATAGTTCTAATTCCTAAAAATCAATGAGTAAATCCCGGTAAGAACTGATTCTATTGTTGGCTGTTTCGACGTAAACGCTATCGACGATAATCTTACTCAATGCTGCGGAATAGCAAATGATAATTAACAACTCACTATGTGAAATTCGGCTAATCTATTTTCAGCTAGCAAAGCCAGCAAATTTAGACCGAGTAATTGATACATATACGGCGATTCCGGGAGAATATCACTGTAAAAGATGCAAAGGTTGAATTAAAAATGGCACATTAGCAAGAGCATATCTAAAAGATATCACTAATGGGCTATCATGAAAATAAAACGTAAATCCAGCAACAATCCTACTATTTCTGACCTATAATCAATATAATAAGGCTTCAATTGGGTCATATATCGTTGAAATGATTGAATATCTTTCTTAGCGATACTCCATTGCGCCCCAATTTCCAAAGTACCCCCTAAATCAATGAAGAATCAATTTGTTCAAATAGTCATACTAGAGATCGGATATTATCTTGGTCGGTACATTAAATGCCATATTATTCTAGAATACCATACAAATATCTAGTAGTATACAACAAGAAAGGAATGATAACTCCTACTAAAGTCTCTACTGCGACATACAGTATATAATTATCGGCCAAACAGCAATAACTTACGAGCGACAACCAGAGTGTCGGTATCCTGTCCAATTTTATCCGTCGGTAGCAGTGAAGTGGTGGCCAGTGCAATCTATCAATAAGAACAGAGAGCAACAAATCTACGATTCAATCACTTATATTTGTCATTAATTTTATTGGTAACTACTGGATTGATTTTGCGTTTTAAATTTTAAACTATTCATATCAACCTGATCTCATTATAAAGTAAACTCAAGTCTTGACTATAATCGAGGTCGTACAATTAATTGAATGTGATAAATCTCGCAATATCTTGGCCTTAGGATAAAAGGGTCGATGTCTATTGAATGATCCATCTACGCCCTGCCAGTCAGGTTGTAGTAACGTATACGTACGATTGTACGATGTACGTTCAGTTTTGCTGACTATCTTGAGCTAAAAATTCTATGCATCAGTTTTAGAGCAAGATGAATGTTGAACATAGAACTTTCAAAAGGAACGCTATAAGTTAGAATATCTTCCGACTTTAATTTGAGAGATGATTGTAAGATATTTATCCAAATCTCATCATTACTGCATTATGCTTTATTTATTTCGTGACTGGTTTGATGATCGTTTATAGAATGCGTAATGAAAGTGGTATGGAGTAAAACTTCTTGTCATCTACAAATCGATCAAGTGCACTATAACTAGATTAATATATATCGTTGATGGATGACTTGTTATCGACAAGTGACATTGACGAATCAGTTAGGAAATGGATGATGTCTCAGATTCACATTGGCCGGGAAAAACTACAGACAATCTAACAAAGTGCAGTACAATCAATGAATGATGATGACTCCATAATTCATTACTATTCACTAGTTTGATAGTGCGTTACAGGTATCCATCAAGAAGATTCAACTTCACTTTATCGGCTATTATCCCCCTATTTCTCCATCCTTACAGGATTCTCATGCCATCTAAGACATCACTTCCATCTAAATTGATTCCATTACTAGAAAGACATGATTCAATCGGCGTCGCTTGGCTGCCTGTAAAAACATGCTGTCCTTTCTCTGCTGTCGCTTTTTCACCGCTCACTTTAGATTCAACATTGTACACAATTTACAGCAATAAAAATTCCACTGTCTCAGCCATTACCTTTAGTTGCGTAAGAAGGCTACCACATTTAGCCAGATCAGGACGGGCAGAGTGCCATTCCTTGTTTAAAGTATTAAAATTTTGCAAAACGTTGGAAAAGTTGTCAGGAGCCATGACCAATTTGCCTTAAACTATTTTCTGCTGTATCATGGACTAAAACCAGCTCAACATGCAGTCAGTAGTCTACCGTTACCACGGATTTTATGCTTTACTATAGCGATAGTCAGTCGATTGTGTCACCGTCTTGATGACAATGGACGATTTCTTTCAACGTTGCTGCAATATCTATACAATCTTGCCTATACTGCACTGACAGCCAAGAACGGCCATACAATTGTATGGCGGCCAGCATCTGCTGTGCCACCCCTACTCAGTTGAGCGGTTGGAGCGGGACGACAACGCGTTTTCCGTCTTTCCAGTAGTCCATGTCGAATGAACGACACACGCAGACGTCACTCTGTCTCTCTGTACAGTACAGTAATCCAGAAATTCATCAGCGAACCAAATCGGGCCTGGCTGTCAAAGTCCTTTTTGGATCGAAACTCCCTACAGTAGTTTATATGGCATTTTATTGGCTGGAAAGGAGGAAATTTCTTTTCAACGTTGTTGCAATTTCTATACAATCTTGCCTATACTGCACTGACAGCCAAGAACGGCCATACAATTGTATGGCGGCCGTCATCTGCTGTTCCACCCCTACTCAGTTGAGCGGTTGGAGCGGGACGACAACGCGTTTTCCGTCTTTCCAGTAGTCCATGTCGAATGAACGACACACGCAGACGTCACTCTGTCTCTCTGTACAGTAATCCAGAAATTCATCAGCGAACCAAATCGGGCCTGGCTGTCAAAATCCTTTTTGGATCGAATCTCCCTACAGTAGTTTATATAGCATTTTATCGGCTGGAAAGGAGGAGATTTCTTTTCAACGTTGCTGCAATTTCTATACAATCTTGCCTATACTGCACTGACAGCCAAGAACGGGCATACAATTGTATCACGGCTTGCATCTAATTCGACACCGTAGTGAGTTGAGCGGCTGGAGCGGTACAACAACGCGTCTTCCGTCTTTCCAGTAGTCCATGTCGATTGCACGACACACGCAGACATCACTCTGTCTCTCTGTACAGTAATCCAGAAATTCGTCAGCGGGCCAAAATCGGGCCTGGCTGTCCAAATCCTTTTTCGATGGAAACTCCCTACGGTAGTTTATATAGCCCTTTATCGGCTGGAATGGGGAGGTTTCTTTTCAATGTTGTTGCAATTTCTACAGAATCTTACCTATGGCAGTACTACTCTGATAGCCGAGAACGGACATACAATTGTATGGCGGCCGGCATCTGCTGTGCCACCTTACTGAGTTGAGCAGCTGGAGCGGACAACAACGCGTCTTCCGTCTTTCCAGTAGTCCATGTCGATCGAACTGACACACGCAAACCTCACTGTGTCTCTGTCCAGAAATTCGTCGTAGCGGGCTTGGCTGTCCAAATCCTTTTTCGATCGAAACTGCCTACAGTACTTTATACAGCACATTATCGGCTGGAATGGGGAGATTTCTTCTCAATGTTGCTACAATTTTGATATAATTTTACTCGTACTGTACGTGTACTGACAGCCAAGAGCGGACATACAATTGTATGGCAGCCTGCATCTGCTGTGCCACCGTTCTGAGTTGAGCAGCTGGAGCGATACAGTAACGCATGTTCCGTCTTTCCAGTAGTCCATGTCAATTGAACGACACACGCAAACCTCACTGTGTCTCTCTACTGTACTGTACAGTAATCCAGAAATGCGTTAGCGGGCCAAATCGGGCTTGGCTGTCCAAATCCTTTTCGATCGAAACTGCCTACAGTACTTTCTACAGCACATTATCGGCTGGAATGGGGAGATTTCATCTCAATGTTGCCACAATTTTGATATAATCTTACTTATACAGTACTACACTGACAGCCAAGAGCGGACATACAATTGTATGGCAGCCTGCATCTGCTGCGCCACCGTTCTGAGTTGAGCAGCTGGAGCGATACAGCAACGCATGTTCCGTCTTTCCAGTAGTCCATGTCGATTGAACAACACACGCAAACCTCGCTGTGTCTCTCTACTGTACAGTAATCCAAGAAATGCGTTAGCGGGCCAAATCGGGCCTGGCTGTCCAAATCCTTTTCGATCGAAAATCCCTAGAGTAGTTTCCATCGAACTTTGTCGGCTGGAATCAATTATATCACTACTTTCTAGATTGATCGAGGTGCTCTCTTTCTACATAGTCATCCTAGCTAACAAGCATCTGCTGAAAGCAGCCTTATCAAGGTACCTTGTAGCATCCACGATTCATTTGTACAGATTCTGGACCCGTTGACTTTTGCCGGTCAGGAAAAGACTCAGTGTCAAAGCTTAGCACAAAATTAGTCAACCAGTGTGACCACTGTGCCCAGTATAGGAGCATTCGTTCTCTGGTCAAGTCAAGCAAAAAGAGCTCACCTACTGTTCTCTATAGTACTGGCTGGCAACGTATCATTTTCAGCCATTGGAGGGGAATGCTACACTGTTGCTAAACAAGATGGAAGCTGGCTTACTGCAGTCTTTGGATGATTTAGGGTATGATTAATCTTGCTGCTGTACTTGATCATGCAAGTTTATCATAGTCAATCGACTGCTTTCTTACTGTACTCTACTGTAGAATTATAAATGGCCAGTAAACGCAACTACTCTATCATGATATTGGTCATTTCATCCACGGTTAAAGTTGATTTTATCGCTTTAAAATCAACACAAAGTATTCCAATGAGTTAGGCGTAAAGACTGCATTTTATACGTTGTATTTTAAGTCAGAGACATAGTAAAGGCCAATCAACTGCCTATTGGGTTTCGTACAGTATCCATGTCTAAATAGATTGCGATTGAATGATTTAGTGGCTCTAGACTTGAGCTGATTTGACGGATTGGATGACGTAGTGGATAGTAATGGATGGACTGTAGTTTGATTGCTTTTCAGCTGTTTTGGAAGTAATGTTGTCATGAAAATGGCCAATTTGATTAACTATTGATGCGACTTCAATTGGAATGATAGGTACGATGGCCCAATGTTACATCGTCAGACCTTTCGAGATGCAATGAGAACTGGATTAGAGTCTCAAAATTTTGTTGAACTCTTGCACTGGCTTGCCACATCATTAATAAAAGCTCTTGACCTACATTGTACGATCAATCCACCTGATGGTAAGTCTGTAGTACTGTATAGAGATTATGAATTAGTTCTATTAAGCTGGATATCAACGCCAAAAGAAATCGCATTAAGCAGCTGCAACTTTCGTCTATAATTACCGTGTATCGTTGATAACTTTGCTACGATGCCATGATATCACAATATTAGACTTACAGTCGCATGCCTTATTAAAATGTTGTTGGTAACATTGGCAACAAAATTATAGGCATTAACTTATGATTAGGATATATTGTAAAGTAAAATATGCATTCATGAACAATTATGTATCATAGTGATGTAAAATAATGAAAGCACCGAAATGGAACTAGAAACTTTATGATTACACTTGCTCCAGCTAATAATATTATAGTCAGAATTGTAGTGAAAGGATTGACCAAATGCTAACATTTATCGGAATCCAAAATCAATTTCTTGTAATTGAATAGATGATGACTATACAGCAACATCGCGATCCTATCATCAACTTTTAACCCTATTAGGTATTTATTTAAGTATTGATAACGCCTATTTGCTAAGTAAAGGTATCCATCAGATAGTCACTACAATCAGCTCATAACATCCTAAAATTTCTCACGGATTTTCCGATATATCGGCAGTGCTATGTAATTACCTACTAGTTTTTCTATCAGAAATATGTATGTCATTGGACCGCTAAATGTAAAATGGACATGGTTTTGATTATAATGGTTTGCCTAGAAAGATAATCAGAAAAATCTATCCCTTTTAATAGAATGTAACTATGATGTTCTAATGCAAGAAGAAGAAGATATTTTTGCCACATTAAAGCAACGAATGTTTCTATTAGGTAAAACAAAGAACTGGCTAATTTTTGTTCCACCAATAATTGTTAGCCGCTAGGTGCCAATTATAATGATGTAATTAATAGTGGTATAATTGTTGGTCGTTTAGTGCCAATTATAGTTGAATCGTGGTAACTACCTTTGATTATATTTACTATCACAGAATATCTATGTACCGAATTGCACGCTGCCATCATAATTCAGCATCAATCACCTCTTCAACAACAGCAAAGCACAGAAACTACCAATCCTGAATCTCCTGTATGCTTAATCGATATGCTCGCGTACTTTTTAGAGAAGTCCCAGTAGCTTATAACATGATACTGTTGTAATTAGGCATTAACTTTTCGCTACTTAGGGGAGAGAGGTAACGGGTATAGCGCAGCGGGAATTGCAACGTATTTGTAGGGTCCTAGGCATTTCACCAGCCGGTGACACCGTGAATGATATATTTAATGCAATACTAGGGAAGGTAAGATCAATCACCAGATAGCACGAAGGTAGAAATTTAGGATCTTGCTAGTATGCGATGGGTAGTAGGATAACATCTGATAATTTCATCTCTGCTATATCATATAGTCAGTACAGTAAGCTATCGAAAATTATACGTACGGTATCATAAGTGTTAGGAAGGTAATTTTTAAATCGCATATATACATACTACGATCGGTATTTGTATCATGTTCGCCTTTTAAAGACGCTCATTAAAGTTATGCCTTAATTGATTGCTCTGTAACTAGGTCAAATTATTGTTAAATGAACTACCTGCCAATACATTAGGCAAACCTTTGTTAACGAAGGGTCTTACAAAGCAGCAACTGGTAACGCAATTGTCGACATAATTTTTCCAGTATTTAATAATGATACGTCGGACGTTTTCTCCTTGCAATTTCCAATGATTCTATTCACAAACTTGAAATTATCTCTAGTCTATGTGTGCTTTAATTTTTAATAAATTCTCTGTTTTTTAATTTTAGACTGAATTAAATGAAATCAGCGAAGAACTAATAAAGCAGTATACCATGAGAAAGCAAATGCTGCTAACTAGATTAGACGTAACTATTCAATCTTTTTATTGGGCAGATCGTATTAAGGTAGTGAGTGTTTACAAGTCATAATACGCAATAAAACTGTTATACGAACGGCAATAACACTTGAAGTTTATGCCAATTACCTACAATCAGGAAAAAGAAGCTGAAATTACCGAAGTTTATGCGTCACAGCGACAAAATCTAACACCCGAAAGTAATATTGGCATTGCTAATCTTTTTTCTGCAAGAACAGGTATGCAAATAGCTTACATACATTGTAAACAAGTTTTAATCAAACTGAGATTAGCAAAGAATAGAATAACAAAATGAACAGTTTATATTATTATAAATTGATGGCTCCATCGTTTTGTAGATTTATTAAGAGTTAGTAAAACCTGCAGCGGTATTGCTCGAGCAATCACCGAAACTGAAGTAAACAAAGTGGTTATTGGAAAGGTAAAATTGCTAGTCCCGTTAATACTTGAAAATTAATATGTTATATTTAAATATTACTAGTCGCTTAAACGACATCGAAAAAGTTTAAATGTTTTACCTATAATTAATTTTACAGGTTCCAGACCGAGGTGGCCGAGTAGATTACGATGCAGCAGCCGATATGCCTCAATTTAGAGAGAGAACCGAACCGTCTAATCGCAGGGGTATAATGGCATTACAATAATATAATTATACTGGAAACAGAATCTCCACATAAAACCCTGTATATCATCCCCTGAATAAGATCTCTCACACTAATATTCAGAAAATATTATTTTAATGATGAATCAATTTTATCTAGTGTTTTTACTAACAAATTATGATATTTGTGCTAGGAGGCGGAGGTGCTAGTGGTGGTGGAAGAGGCAGAGTTCAAGGAAGTAAGCTGATAATTTTAAAATAGCAATTGCTTTGGATATGAAATCGATATAGTTATTTTACACAATCTAATCATTACCTTTATCGAAGATATAAGTCGACATAAAATCGAGTTTAAGAAAATGGTTATGTATGTATTTGCATTTAATATTTTCATAGGGGGTTGGCAGCACGGTCATACTGGTCAGCAAAACAGAAATCAGAATAAAAGTTGGGGACAGCGTGGTAGTCACAGCAGTCAAGGCGCCAGAGGCAGAAATGTATTTCACAGTTAGATAGATAATTTTAAATTTCTTCTTCGCCCTCATACCAAAATAGCTTTAAACTTTACTGCTCACTAGCGATCGCCAGTTTGTATATTTTAATGATTTTTTAAAAATGATCATTTTTGTATAAATCTGTTTCAACTTCACTAAATACTAATATTATATAACATAGATGATATATAATTACTGGAGTATCCATGACCGACATTGTAATGAATTCATTCGGTTTTTATACAATTTATTAACACCTGAACTATCTTTCAACATGAGATCCTAAATTACCCTGTACAATAACAATGTAATATGACGAATAACTGTAAGATGAACTTGAAATAAAATGTATATGCCCAAACAATATTACTGACCTGAAAGTTAGCATTGCTATAGACGTACAAGATTATTCTACTTATAAATAAATTCCATCGATTATAATTATGATAATATTGCAGGACAGTTGCTACAACGGATGTTATTGTGCTATATCATACTAGCTGCTGTTTAAATATTTCAGACTGTCCACTATTAAGTTAATAAATTCAGCTCAGGATAATGTTTCAGTTATAAAACAGTCTACTGACCGTAACGAATTATAATAATAATATACTGTAACAGCTGGCTACCAGATTCATTTAGATTCATAAACTAACCTCCTCTTACCAATAATAAACAACATGCTACTTACGGATTGGGTGATAGTTCTATAGAATGCAAACAATGATTCCTCAAGATTGTCAAGGCTAATTTACATTATTAAAGTAAATACCTGTTAAAAGATTTTATTTAAGATATAGTTGCTACGAATTAACCTTTATTATAGTTTTTCTTAGTCGTATTGAAAGTGCCATCAACTTTTAAAAGCGAGAACATGGCGATGATTGTGATACTCATTTGCACGATAATCTCGTTCAGTAGCGCTTATGATGTTACAATATTGCATACAAATGATATCCACACTCGATTTGAACAATTTGGACCAAATGGTGCTTGTTCAGCGCAAGATTCATCAGCTGGTAATTGCTATGGCGGATCTGCACGAATGATGACAAAAGTAACGGAGATCAGAAGTCAGGTTGCTAACACCGTATTTGTTGATGCTGGCGATATGTTTCATGGTACAATGTGGTACCACGTATACAAAGGCAATGCCAGTCGCAATTTTATGAATTTATTAAAGTATGACGTGATGGTAAGAAGCAAAATGAGTTTACTTTATATTTTCTAAGTTTTCAATCTACAGTAAATTTCTCGATTTTCTTTGGATATTTCAAGCTCATTAATTGGTAATTAAATTGGCATCACTAAGCTTAGCTTAAATTAGAGCCAATTAATTTTCTTCATAAGTCACTACAAATTTGATTTTCAACATTAATATTGCAAACTTTGCAACTATATCCATTAAGTAGTCATGATCACGCTTTACTTCGTCAAATAAATATTAATAGAAATTAGATAATAAACTGACGATTTCAGCTAAATCATTGTCCAAAAATATATATGGACGTACCTAAAGAAAGTCATTCTTGATTCTTTCTTGAATTTAAAAGTAATTCTAAATTTTTCCTCAATTACACTAGTGGAGTATGACTATGTCATACACTACATTAGTATTGAAATATTTGTTTTTACTGCTAGTGGATGGCACCATGATGGAACATTGTTAAACTATGCTGATAAAATCGTGATGATCTATCAGGCTAGATTTCGAAGGAAATCTCCCTATTTTGCAGTATTGAAGTTATAAAAGAGATAAAAATTGTATATCTTCGTTCTATCGGTATTCGCCCTGATCCAGCTATAGCAATTGGATAAAAATTGTTATTTCTGAACAAAAATTAATCTACTTTTGTATCGCTGGGCCAACTAGCGAGAAGTATTCGCTAAGGAAAGGAGTTTTGGAGGAAATTCAATATGGGCACAAATGTTCAAATGAGTTCATCTACTAAGTCTATTCTTAGTACCTTAGTAACTTCCGAATATAGTCAAAATGTGTTTTTCGAAATTAAGTTTATACTGCATAAATTCGGCATTTAATAATCTCACGCATTACAAATGCTATCGATCTGAATCAAATTTTCTTTTTTTAATTGAGTTATACAACAGTTTCCCTTTAATTTGCTATTGAAATAAATAGCTATAATTACTACTTATAATCAGTTTTATCACTTTTCGCTAGATGGCTATGCAAAGTATTTGATATCCTTAAATATAAATTATTCAATTTTATATCAATATTAAACGATTCGTCCCTTATTTTATGCCACGCTTGAAATCGAGGATAACCAGGGACTACTGAAGAAAAAATTTCACCATACCCCACCACTTTCCGTAAAAATTTCTCCACCCTATAAAGAAGACCGAAACGTACAACTGACCTACAGTACAAACAATCTAGGATAACTGTAATTGCTTTTGTTCACATTAGGGAAATTAATATTGCGAATGAAAATGTTGCTTTAAGATTTTAACAAATTAATTATTAGTAGATATAAACTACAGATTAACTAATAATGCCTGCTAAGTTGTTAATCATATACGGTACATCTTCTCATTGTGTAGGCCACGTACAGTAGTTGTACGGAGAACTTCCTACAGAAAATTTTTAATGATATCTATGTCATTAGATATTTGTGTATTGGCATTTGTCGATCAATTTATCATAATGCGCCACTTTAATTATATGCGTATATGATAAGTATGAACATTACTAGGACCCACAGCATGTTATTAATAATCCAGTTTTCTTTGTAGGCATTAGGCAATCATGAATTTGATGCTGGTTTGGGAAAACTTAGCGAGTTTTTGAAAGGCGTTAATTTTCCAGTTATAAGCGCAAATATTGATGCCACTAAAAATCCTGATTTCGGTAAATTATTTACCAAGTATACTATATTGACGATGGGAGGTGAAAAGATTGGATTTGTAGGTTATACAACAAGAAATACTCCCAATTTTTCCAGACCTGGACCTACCTTGATATTTACCGATGAAATAAAAGCTATTACTGATGCCGTTTCTGAGTTACAAAATCAAGGAATCAATAAAATTGTTGCCGTTGGCCATTCTGGTTACGATATTGACCAGCAAATAGCTGCTAAAGTATGCGGCATCGATGCCGTTGTTGGAGCTCATACTCACACCTTTTTGTATACTGGCAAGCCACCAACTAATCATAAGCCCGCTGGTCCCTATCCAACCGTTGTTAAGTCAGAATGTGCTACAGAAAGTAATAAAATAGTTCCAGTAGTACAAGCTTATGAATTCGGTCGATATCTTGGCCGGTTAGAATTGACATTTGATGATGGTGGTAAGCATTTCCTCTATAGAACATGTTCATTAATTCATCCTATGAACTACATATGTTAGTTATCCAATAAACTAGAAAGAAATCGTGAGAAAGTATAGCTTATAGTTTACTTTCTATAAACAAAGAATCCTTTTAAGGTGATTGGTATCGTCTTTTAAAACTGAATTAATTACAGGTGTCCTGACAAGCTTTAATGGTAAACCAATATTGTTAGACAAGAGCGTTGTACAAGATACAGCCTTGGAACAAGAGGTAAAACGATGGCAGCCTGGAATCAGCGCATTTGCGGCGCAGGAATTGGGAAGATCTCATGTCTATATTGATGGTAGCAGAGCTACGTGTGGTTTATACGAATGCAATATGGGTTAGTTAATTACTTTTACCGCCAATGAAAATGTATAGTCAATATTTACTTTACTAATAGTTTCAATCTTTAGGATGCATTAGCAATTTCATGTATTTAAACTATCTTTGCTAACTCTTTTAGGTTTCAATTAATATATATTACTATAGGACATTTTGCATTAATTATTATTAAATATTACCCAATCTTTGACTTTAATTATTTCCAAATGGACGGAAAATCAATAGTATTCATCAAATCGATATTAAGAAAGATTTTTATAAAACTATAGTTGTAGCTGAGTAATCCGTCAATCTGGTCTAGTTAAAAATAATATGATTGAACAGTGTATTTCGCTCTCTCCCTATAGGTAATTTACTCACTGATGCTATGGTGCAAGAGATTCAAAGATTTCCCGATAGCTCCCAATGGGCCAACGCATCGATTGCAATCCTACAGGCCGGTGATATTCTAGCATCTATCGATAACAAGCCTCCAGGTAAAAGTAGCTATGCAAATGATGATTTAAGAAATACTACTCCTAAATTACGCAATGATATTTATGCTAAGAATATGCTAATCCTTACACTTTTGCTCTTATTCTAGGCATTATTACTATTTCCAATATGCACGCTATTACTAAATATGATAACGTTATCGATGAGTTAACCATGCCAGGCTCGATATTGATAAAGGCATTAGAACTTGGTGTAGCCAATTATAACAAATCGAAGCCATCAAGCCTATTCCTTCAAGTTTCAGGTAAATAAAAATTGCAATATTGAATTCATTTAATAATCTGAAGGTTTAACGTAATCTTCTATAGCACCGTACGACATAAACAGTGACAGGAAAGATTTTAAAACTTTTCTTATTCATTGTCTAGGACTTAGGGTGGTATACAATCTAGCTAAACCTTCCAATGAAAGAGTCCATTCAGTAGAAGTGATTTGTACTCAGTGTAAAGTGCCAAGATTTGTTCCAATGGACAAGTGAGTCTGTTAGTGTAGTTTATTTACTGTTTATCTACTGGTGAAAACCGTTCAGGAAAGAATTATTCTTATTTAAATTGGTAGACTCTACTTTCTTTCATACCGCTATGGACATCTTTTGCATGTATCATCATAACAGCTAGTTTGTACTAATATCAATCTTCTATCAATTCATTAGGAATAAAATGTATAAAGTACTAGCTCCGTCTTATATCGGCAGAGGATTTGGAGGTTTTAGTGTATTTCGAGACAAACAGGTGATTCACAGAGAAGGAACTCTTTTGACACGAGATGCCTCCATTGCTTATATACAAGCTAGAAGTCCTCTAATCACTCGCCTTGACGGTAGAATATCGTTTTTAAAAGCCAGCAATACATCTCCGTGTACAAATAATGCTAGCGGTATTAAACCTATGCTAATACTATTATTCGTTATGTCTGCTTTAATTCAGTGCGTTATTTACCGTTAAATTTCTTAAAGTAGTTTTATTACTGTAGTCTGTATGCATGCATTATGTTGTGCATTTTCGTGAAGTCTAAGATTCAGATATATGACACATTACGCTTCACAAGTCGAAGGATATTCCTAAGCTATATCGTATAAGACCTGATTTGGTGTGGCTGGTTGTCTTGCAAGACTGCATTGGCTGACTTCTGTCAGCGTATACAGTACTTTAATTAAATTGCTTTGTTTGTAATCATTAGCATTGATTTTTATTAAGCCTGATATCTAAAACGCTGCATCTTCTTGGAAATTTGAATAAAACTGTAGTAAGCTATCAAACTAAGAAGATTCTATTGACAAAGCTTCTTCTGCCGTATGATATCATTTATTTCAGTTTAATCCGTCGATCGATTTCGATGCTGACGTGAGAACATTGACTGGCAAAACCTTCAGTGCTGTAATCAAGCTCAAAATGGGAGATCTAGATTATGATGTAGTCAGTTATTGCATATTGATATTGTTATTGGTAGAGATATACTCGTAAAAAGCATTTTGGATATCTTTCCTGGTAAATGAATGAATTATTGTGTTATGATAGTGATGCGTGACCTAGTTGAAATTTTAGTCTAAAACTACTTGAACCATGAGATGGCTTAAATACTGCTTTCACAGGATTAGACATCCACTGTGTTTTCGTATGTTTATCGATAAATCGAAACAAAATGTCGGTAGAATTCTAGTCTGTACAAATCCGATGATGATCGTTGGTTATGCGCTGAAAATTTCACCTACAGTGCAGCGAATGACAGAGCAGTTGTCTAGATGATGTGTCTTGACCAATGCTGCAACTTGCCATTCACAATGCATCGAACTCGTCGAATACGCGTAAGTACTTTACTGAAACGGCAGTAAGCAAAGTCTACAACGAGTTCAATGCATTCTGACTGGAATTGTACAGTCCCATTGCAACACTGGTCTTTTAATTAAACGTGAGCTTTTCTTCTACGTATTTTATTCAATTTGGCTAATGAATCTTCCATTTTGTTCATTTTCCCTTCCACATTGATCTAACGATGATCTTTGCCAGTTGAGTCCGTCTGTCCGTTCCGTCAACGTGCAAGCCCCAAAGACGTGTTTTTAACCACAGTTTCGGGGGCGTGTCTCTCTCTCTCTTCTCTATTCACAGTACGCAGTCACCTACAGTACTGTACCTCTATAGTACACACAGTGGTTCATGGACGCAGTGCGTACCGGTACGGGCAACCCATATACAGTACTGTACAGTACAGTACAAGTCAAGCCGCCATAGTCAATAGTCAATACTAGGCCTGTCAGAGGTTCGGTACAATGTACTGTACACTGTACACTGTACCCTGTACACTACAGTAGTCGCTGGTCCACTACCGCTATACTGTGTACCAAATGCTGCAAATAGCCCATACAAGCAGATGCAAAGTGCGAAATTGCTTCTAATCATGTATCATCCACCACACTGTACAGTGTACAGTGCACAGTGTACAGTGTACAGTACCATGACGGCTCAGCGATGCTGTTTCGTCATCATCCCACTTGTATTTTTACCGTACTTGCTTACAGCTCGATACCCCAAACATGGGTAGAAAGCATTAGAATACACCAACAATTTGGCAAGATTCGTCATCGATAGGCGAGAAGGGCCATTGGCATACAAGTCGGTGTCCCATCGGTGGATATCCATAGTCATCCCATAATTGCAGCCTACCGTATTGCACACAGTACTGTGGTGAGTTTTGCTCGCCCCAATCTCCATGTTGTTCCTTGGCCAACTTTCACTCTTTCAAAATTGATTTGGAAAGTTGCCACGCCAGGGTAATCGATGAATTATTATTTAATCCTACTCTATTCTATTGCTGAAGGAAAGTATTGAAGAAAATTGATCCTTGTCTTGTACGTCTAATCTTTGAAAATGCCGCCCAAGAAAAAGTCTGGCTCTCATTTCTCCTCGGTAAGCAATGACGACTTGTACGACTGTGGACTGAAGTAGGATGAGGATGAAAGACGTGGATAGTCGCTTAGGATATCAATGAGTTTGCCACTCTCCTAGTCTACATATAGTGTCTACAATGAAGTATAGAGGATACTGGATAGGTTTACCATGGAAAAAAGCTGGTAAAAGGCAATTTTACCCTTTAAAATTGTATGATGCAGTCAAGCAATGACAGGTGTAGCATACCATTTGCAGCTGTCGACGTCGCAGGAAACGTATACGATACTCTACTGTGTCATATTGATTAATTCATTCGTCTGGCCCACAATCATCAGTGACAGCAGGAAATGGCCTTCGTCAGCTATTACTTGTACAGGCTTGCCCTATTTAGCAACTGCTAATGTTAGCGAGTAACTAGCCTTGAAGTAGTCAATAATACCATGGGATAGAATAGCTTAGATTACAATTAATTCAATCAATTGAATAATAGACGTTGTATGCTCGCCGATACTATTGCAACATCAACGGAATACATGCTTTTCTATGGCTCGAGTTGGAGCTTTATAAATAGATTATGTAGTAGGTTATCAGAGATCTTTCTTTATTTGTAATTTTGGGGTATCCCGATTCACCGGAGAAATTTCGAATTGAAAATGGAAATGTCGAGTATCGAGTTGCTAAACTGATAGGATCAAGTACGATTACAATACTTTACTACTGCTGAATGCTACCCGGAGAAATGATATTGAAATTTGAATACGCCAGCAACAATAAAGTCATACAGTAAGGAGTTGACCAACAAGACGGCTACTACAGTCAAGATGGCATAAATGTAATGCTATCCAGTACAGCAATGTACAAATACAGTTGCTTCAACGCAATATCCAAAGGGAATGTTCTAATCTTCACATATCATCACCCTATTGCAATATCATCATCAAGTGAAGGGTCACTTTGGTATGCAAAGCTCCTATTAGTCAATGCTACAGGGGTATGCTCGTATGCAAGATGTTGTTCTTGCCTTGCAAACATTTACCCTCTAAATGTCGAACAGACGTAATCACCAGTCTTAATTCAATTAAAATTTTAACATCATGACACTCTTCTCGTTAATACCATGTAATCCATAAATTGATGATAAACAGTATTAATTACAATACTTGCTAGATGAAAAAAAGAATCGCTACATCAGATTATCTCAATTGCATGGCTGCAACTTGATACTTTTATCGAAAGTGGACAGCGTAGTAAGAAGCGCAACGACGATAGATGATATGCGCTAATCGATAGTATATCAAGTTAACTTCAGTAAATATCCATCTACATTGCTATCTAGATTGGAAGACGAAATATAATGGACCAATGATAAATATTATATTCATATCTTTACAGGCTAAAATCAAAAGAATGATGCAGAGCAATGAGGATATACCAAAAATTGCCAATTCGGTACCTGTACTAATAGGTATGCTAAAGCGAGACCTTTGCCTTCGCTAAACTATAGTATTTCATACAGTATACTACCCAGTTATTAAAGTCAAATATTTGATATTTTGGAAGAATGTCTTGTGTACTACTGCTTACGTAGATATACCAATTGGATCATAACCATTTCTCTCTTATCAATACATTTAAATGATTGATCAAATAATTGTATTTATCTTGTATCTTGAAACTTGATTATATTATTAGCTAAAGCACTTGATATGATGGCACGAGATCTGCTGGAGTCCTGTACTGAAGGATTTTCGGTCAGGATGTTAACCGCCTCGCATGTGTATGTCTTATTATAGTAATAATTTGTCGTTGTTATAAGCAGTATACATGTGTGGATACACATTTTCCCCTTTTCTCCGAGGTATTTAGAGGATATATCGAAAATGAAATCTTTGTTTCTCAATTTATCACGCAGGAAACAATGTGTAGAATCTTACACTAAATTCCATTTTGGACAAAAATTCGTAGCAAATGTTCCGTCGTTAGCAAGCGATAACGGAAACGTAGATGCTAATAAATCTAGGAAATCTTTTACGATAAGGTTTGGAGATACTGTTGAAGGATCTCAAAATAGCGCAATTTTTCTAATGCTTGAATGGACCGATTAATGGCTACTATACACTTAAAGCCATTAATAAGTTATGATACAAACTGAGGTTTGAAGTATTTTACGTTTTTGAATGTAATGCTACTAGGAAAGCACCCATAACAACTGCCAAGAAAATTTCTGCAAATTCGCAAGAAAATACAAAGAAACGTAAACTTCCTTCTCAGCAGAGTTCTCAGGGCGAATATCAACAACCGAAAAAGCGTGGTAGACCTCGTAAAGAAAAAAATTTTCCAAACTACACTGTAAATAGAAAGCGTTTTTTGAATTGAGGTTTTAAGTTTCATGAGTTGGCTACTGTAGTGCACCTAATGATGATTGATATGAATTCTTTAGTGACTTTCGTATCTTCATAAATTATTATAGGATGGAAGTGAGGTTGATGACTGGCCAGTAGCCGATAGTAAACAAACTGAAACTTTTGCAAAACCCACAGCGAAACCTAAAATACATATTAGTAGAAAGGGGAAAACCGATGAATTTCCAGTGGCATTAAATGAAAGAAAGGTTGAAGATGATGATGATTACGATGCTGAGTGAGTAATTAGCAAATACGTATTATAGCATGTTCCGTCTTTTCAATTAGACTTTAGACTTTATATGGTTGGCATGCTTGTACACTAGTTAGTAAACACTCTCAAATTATGTAATAATGTTTCTAGAGAAGAGCCGCTACATATGGTGCTTCCTGGGCTTACTAGCAACACCGGTTATGATGAAGACGACGATTACGACTGCTGAACGTTGTATTGCGTATCTTTAGTTTGAGTATCCCGTTATGAGGTACAGAGGTACCTTATGTAAAGTATGATGACCCTGAATGATATAATGTTTATAGTGATATTTATGCAAATGCTACTTTAAATATGTTTAATTGATGGAATCCTGTGCAATAAGTTTATGAATCAAACATTCCTTCAGCATTTAATATTTTCCAATGTTGTTCAATTTATGACTATATTGTAATTAGATAAGGAGAGGTGTACGTATTAATACTCATATACTGTAATGGAGTGACTATACGTATTGAAATCTCACGTAATGAAATGCAGTTATCAATTGACCAACTGAATTTTGAGTTTAATTTTTTATTTTATATAATATTGTGTAGTGTTTCTATAAAGCAAAGGAAATGAAGTCATTTTATTGTCGAAATTATTAAAAGAGTTGTGTATCTATGCACACCTATGTACAACCATGGACTATAACTAGTAGTCCATGGTACAACTCTAATTATGTTATACATACGAATATACTCCATATATTGACATCAATTCCTCTCAATGCATGACGATTTAGCAAATCTCTAATAGCAATGCCGTAATAATGGTATATTTCCTTTACCTTGACGTTATCACATTAGCAATGTAAACCTGATGTACAATTGTACTTGTTATGATATTTTTTCTTATTCTCTGTTTTAACTCTGCATCATGATACATGTATCAGCCATGAGCACAAAAATAACTCGTGGCCTATCTGGTATTGTTACATACATGCTTTATACCTTTGTCTTCCGTTAGAAGGCATGCAAGAATCGGTATATCGAAGAGAATAAAACTGCATACCGTTTTATGTTGCACTGGAAGATAATCAACTTATGTTTCAATCCAACGAGTAGACTACATTCCTTCGTCATGATAAGTAAAGTATAGGTTGGAGATCAACAGAAGGCTATTTGTTCAATTAATTATTTAAGTAGTCATTTTCACTTTATCAATCCAATCCCAGATAATGTCTTGTATAAAGGTTGCCGGATTTTTTCCTGCTAATAAATATGCCTTTCCTTGTTCGCCAATATTTGGTACAGGAAGGTCAGAAGATACAGATATAAATCCTTCATGATCAGCAGTTATTGCCTGTCTATAATACGAAAAGATGAGTTAGTATTAGTTGTCTTGTATCACCTCTTGTTTTCGAGTAAATGTATCAAGTGCTGTATAATATACATAAATACTAATTTGTTACCTTGGTAAATTTGGGCATCGCAATGTTATACCTATGCAAATTCCATTTCGCCTAGTAGTGAAAGACAGCTCGCTAAGAAAGGGTGAAGTTTCGCTTCGCATCGTTCTATCGCTTTGTAAAGGTTTACTTTGCACATGGTGGCTGACGTAATAAAACAATTTGTCTTGTATAGTGGAATTGCCACTTGGTGAATCTGATACTAAATCAACCGAATAGCACTTGCATAAGTCATCTCGCACATCATAAAAACACTCGCAATAAGAACAGAGTATCCATAGACTATTCACTACGTTTATACTACGAACTGACCAATGTCATGTTGGCCACGATCATATGCTATTATCATCCAATACCACGATTGCAACAAGGTCATAGCGTTCATTTCCCCCATAGAAAAAGTCTCTGTAGCTAAGGATTGATAGGATGTACCGCATGTAAGCTAAAGCTAAGTTATGACATCATTTATTCATGATAGCAAGAAGTCATTTGTAAACTAGCAGCTTTGATCTCGTGTATTATTAAAAATAGCGTTCATAATATGAAATACGAGTATATTATTACCGTATTGAGTATACGTATATCGATTATGTAGAATGGAATGTTAATGATATACAGCAAAGCGTGTCTATTGATTGAAAATCATTTACTATTGGACCAATAAATTCTACGTGAGGTCGTATTAAAAGTATTTATTTATTTACTTACTTTCCTTCATCGCTTGACCTAACAATGAAATTTCCTTACTCAATTGAGAATGAATTAAGACCTTTTTCATCTCCGATACCGTTTGTTCCAGACGATAATTTCGAACCATAACATCATATATTTCACGCAACCTATATACGCATAGATAGCCTATCTTAAAATTGATATCCGCATAGATATATTGTCTAGTGTAGATATATCTATTTGCATCCAACATGATGACTATAACCTAACTGTAATTAAAATTTCTAGCGCTTGCAAGTATCCATCTAATATTGAGTGTTTGACTCTAGCAGAGATTACAAACCTTCGTTGAAGGACTGCAACAGTACTACGCGTATCAAGGTTGCATTCTACAGCTAACTACTCAGTAGTGGTAGGCTATGTCCCATTTCAGGTGTTAATGCATTTTGCAAGGGAAACAAAAATTTGATCTTATTTTTGATGTACAGTACTGTATCATGGACTGTATATATATTATATTACGACAGAATTCATTTAAGCTGCTATCATAGAGGAGTTACTATTAACATTGACGAAACTATCTAGTGTTTATTGAAAGGCTGAATATCTTTTGACGTCAAGCAAGGGATAATGCACCTTTCATTATCATCATCGTTTATTGCAGTGTTTGATAGAAGTTGTGTATGTAGAGATTGGTTCTCTTTGCTGATGATTCGTTTCTTCTCTTGATAGCAATCTTCTACCCAAGTTAGCTGTAATTATGGTATAAATTAGAAGCGTTATTACAGCAACATATTATTCAAAACGCAATTTCATCGCTAATCAATCACTCGTATTACGACGACTTGTTTACAATTATTTTCATCAGTGATAGTACTATGTTGTATTAAGTTATAGCAACGAAGCTAGAGTTTATTCCTTGATAAGGATGCATCAAGGCACAGTTGTGGACTACTCTGCAGGATAACATACGATCATCGACCAGTGACTAAGGTTACACTGTTGCAATTTCTAAAATCCGGGTAGTAAGCTGTAGCTGACTGGCTGTGGAGTACAGCTATATGACGGTCATGATGAGTAGAGTAGAGCAATGGCACGATATACTGCATCGCCTAGTAGATGTATTACCAATTGTAAATGTTGATCCAGTTTATTGCATTCCTTTTTGAGCTTTTCAATGATATCCTTGGCTTCCCGGATAGACAATTGGTTAAAATCGAGCTCCATACCTGGAGCTCTCGTCGTGCATCAAAATTAATTGCAGTGAGTATGAGAACTTTTGCACCAGCCCAGTCATCATCATTACAGTCCAGTACACTATAGTACTACAGTATAGTAGTACCAGTATGCTGGTTTATATTCATTTTACTGTCCATCGGCTATTCCAAGGACCCTATGGAGAGCATATTATGCTGTTATACAGTATTGTAGACACTTCCTTAGAGTCTGGATTTAATTTATGCAAACCAGCTTGGCTTGAATATCAAGTTCTATCCACTTCTATGTCATCGCATTGAGCATTCCGTAACAGTTATTGTAGTCTCATCAATCCAATTTCATCATAATTTGTACTAGAATCAATCAATCGTATCGATTCCCTTTCGATCAGTGCTGTCATTCATGCGCTAGCGATGGTGTATTAATCGGGACTAGATGGCTTGGCATCCATTTGCCCACTACTGTAGACGAGATTCTAAAAATACTGTAGAATATGACAGCATCAGTTAATTCCGTATGATGTAGAATAGGATATCATGGCAACCTGGCTAGCAACGATGACTAATAACAGAGCTAGCAACCTTCATTTTAGTCTTGTTTTTACCCTTTCTACAGTATCTAAGGTACATTGAAACATGCCCAACCTACAATAGAATAACCTAAATAGCGTATAGTAGGGATATTGCTTGATCTTGACGAGATTATAAAAATAGAATATGACAGCATCAGTCTTTCGGTATGATGTAGAATATGACATCATGGCAACCTGGTTAGCAACGATGGCTAATAACAGAGCTAGCAACCTTCATTTTAGTCTTGTTTTTACCCTTTCTACAGTATCTAAGGTACATTAAAACATGCCCAATCTACAATAGAATAACCTAAACAGCGTATAGTAGGGATATTGCTTGATCTTTTTCATCTTTTTGCCTGGCTAAAGGAGGAAATGGACAAGATTTCCACGAAATTAACCCCAAAATCATGTTGCTTTTTCGTCTTGACCCACGTCGTCGTTGAATTTTATAGAGACAGTATAGAGCATTCGCTACTGACTGCGGTGTAGTCTTGACCAATGGATCGTCCAATCCTTCTTGTTCTACAGTACATTGTCTACAATATCAATCGGTCGTCCTCGGTCCATGCACTGTATGCAGTTGGTACTAAATCAACATGGTGTAGAAATGAAATGGATTATTATAGGCTATAAAGTACTGAATGCGACCATATTACGACAAAGCCTACAGTAGCTAACCAGTGCTACAGTACGCGTGATGTACTCTCTCTATCCACCTTCCCATACACCGCGATACAAACAAGATTCAGTATAACGTTTCCAGCGGTGGCAATCAAGCACCAGCAAACCAGGATCTGACTCCAATTAACCTCCAACACTACCACAAGAGTGGACAGGTTTTGACTGCAATCTTTTCCAAAATGGCTGATGTCAATGAGCAAAAGGGTTTCGAGTTTGTTGCTCAAGCTCAAAAGAGAGAGAAGTCTTCGCAAGGATTTTTTGGCAGCATTTTCGGGTAATGATAGCGTCTTACTGTTCATTGGATAGAGATTTATACGTGTTGAACGTGTTATTTGGCTAGTTGTACGCAAAGACGAATGGAGATAGGTATCATCATCATTCAAAAACTCCTTCTCCACGTTCATTTCTACTCATATCATGTCAAACTTGGATGGATTATGAGTAGATTGGATGCTTTTGTAAAGAAAGGATAAATTGCTCTCTACATAAAAGTCATGCAAGTAACAGGGATAATAGTATCGAACGCATTCCAATCGTCTATTTCTACTTGTATCTTGTCTGACCGTCATACATCGTCAACATGATCATAATTTATTCCATTTTACAACATTTCTTCCTAGTTTTTCTTATGTAAATACAAGCGGTATCGTAGCACTTTCTTCACTGTACTACAAGTTAAACAAAACTACAGTCATGTACAACGGGAGAGCATCTTCTTCATCATGTATCCATTTTGAATTTTGAATTATTCATGTAACTACAACGGCCATCATAATTGTGTAATGAATGATTCTAGTCTTTTCAATGTCACTAACTTGCTTTCCAATAAAATGGCAGATGAGCTAGTCGAGCGATCGAACAAAACAACACGGGAAACGATTGCATAAATGTCTAGTCGTTGTAGTCGTTTAGAAATGGTCTTCCATGCAATAGAGTTATGACCATTTTCTTGGATACTTGACGGCTTGACTCGAATAGAGTTGTACTCTACAAAACGATCATCATCCGTTCGCTAAGATTCTTATTGCTGATGGAACAATCTTCTAAACTGGGTGCTACTTTCCATCATTTGACTCGACTGCACAACACAAACTTTCGACCGATTCCATTTCCATTCCTTTCCAACATACGAGTACACACCATCGATGCTGATTTCATTCTTGTTATGGAAATAACCATTAGCTAAATAGGACGATCGATTGTAAACATCGGCTCTACTGTTCGACACAGGCTCTCTGCCGACTCTATATAGACTCTTGTAAAACATAAACACCATCCATCATTTCATTCTCATGATGGAAATAAGCATTGGATAAATAGGACGATCGATTGTAAAACATCATTCGGCTCTACTCTTCTACACAAGCTTTCTACCGATTCCATCGAGACTCTTTAAAACATAAGCGCTATCGATCATCATTCTCGTTATGGAAAGAAGCATTGGATAAAAAGAAGGACAACAGATCGTAAATCATCATTTGGCTCGACGCAGGCTTTCGACCAATTCCATTTACGCTCTTGAAAACATAAACACTATCGATCATTTCATTCTTACTATGAAAATTAGTATTCCATAAATACGACGATAGATCGTAAAACGTTATTCCACCCTACACAGTCTTTCTACCGATTCCATCGAGACTCTTTAAAACAAACACTGACGGCAATTTCATTCTCGTTATTGAAGTAAGCATTCGATACATAGGACAATAGATCGTAAAACTATCCTCAGCTTGTGAACACAACAAGATTCGCTAGACATCATGGCATAAAATTTCATGAAGCTGTAGTATATAGCCTATGATGTTGGAATCAAGCTTATCCTTGTATTGAGAATTAGAGATGATCATTTCATATAGCTACCGTACAATTTGAAAACCCAAATAACGCTAGTTTCTGGTAGGCGTTTATCATTGCATAGGGTAGCGTACATTATCCAATTTACAATTGACTACGTGCATTCACGGGCAATCATTAAAATAGCGATTGTTAGTGGACTTTTCAAGCTATTTTGTAGTCCAGGTAATTCGTAGAAAAGTTTTCCAACTTTAACAATGAATAGATGATGGTCAACGTACCTTAATTCCTTGTTACCCTTCATCAAGAGTTTTATAATTGACCGTAATTTAGTCCCGTATACGGTAGTCACACTGCATTGAAAAAAGTCACTGCGGATTCAATGTTGATGAATAATTTTGAATTATATTGCTTGTTTACCAGGTAACTTAAACCCATTTATGTCCTTCTTTTTGCGACCTAATCTTTTGATTACTGTATTCATTCTACTGTCTTGCCTCCAACGAATAATAAGTAGCTTGCAACTGTACACCCTGTTTGTTGACCGTGAAAATAGAACTAGCTATATCATCATCAATCGATCTTTTAAAGTGTATACCCTCGCAGTGATGGAATAATTGCACCCTCTTAGACTCCAATCTAGTTTATCTTCCTTTAGTAAAGACAATATTCAAGTTGTATAGTATATTTTGAGTTATGATTACGTTTACGGACGGCACAGTTCAAGAAGCTTAGCGATCAATCACATTTCTAACTTGGGATGCCAACAATTCTGCTCCGGATAGAGTCGCTAAGCTACTTTTTCAATAAAATCTGAATATTGATATTTTATGTCCTTACGACATAGGGTAATTAGGATTGACTAATGACTGCCATTAACTTACCAATTAATTATGATAGATACTCAATTTTGTACTAGAGTTTATTAGCCATAGTCTTTTACTCCAGGGGGTAACCGGCTTGTCGCTTTATTTTAATGCCACCTTCTTCTTGATTCTTAATTGGATGCGTGCAATTATCATGCTATTGTTCCTAAATTTTAATGCCATAGGTAAGCTTTTGGCTAACGTGATTAAAATGATTCTGTACAAGTGTACTGCAACGGTGTAAACGACGAATAACTGCGTGTTTTGTAGCAGGTATCCTACTAATTACTAATGATATTGAGGACTTATATATTATTATGTAAGATTAGAAAACTCCCTTTCGAATGCTGTGCGTGACTATTATTGCACAAATATTTCGCATTTGTAAGCATAACATAACATTAGCTCAAGAGGAAAATTTCAGATATTGAACAGGACAACCACACTGTCAATTAAAATTGCAAGTAGATTTTGTGAATGGATGATTTTCCTTAATGACATTAGACTCTTTAATCTTATTTTATTAAAAGAATAATACGAAATGATCTAATATATTTACACACAAGGTTTTGCTTAAATTTTATATTTTGGGAGACCAGCGTCGAGTTTTGGAAAGGATTTGACCAAATAGGTCTAGTTCTTGATTCGACGCTGGGTTTTCGCCGCCCATATGAACTTACCGTTGCTAACAAGTTAATATATGCAGCACAATTGACAGTACAAGTATTTCTTAATTCATTGTCACGTATACTTGCTTGTTAAAGGTTGATACTCTATTCATCAAATATAAATGAAAGGTGAAATGATTAATGATGCTATAACATTTTCATTGGCATTATGCGAGTATAACGAAGTAAATATAGGCTGGTAAAACTTTGAGAGCGTTATTTGCGTACTTACTATACTCATACCTTATTTAAATTATGCGTATTCGCTACAATGGCAGAAGGACAGTTTTGCTAACTTCAACACAGCATAGATATTATTCTTTGCGTTAAAATAACTACTGGTACAGTATTTATTATTACAAACTTAACTATAGAAATGTAATTTGCTGAAAATTAAACATCTACATCAGCTTTTCCATCTCAGCCTCTATTCTTAAAGTTAAACTGTCATTCTCTCAGTTTTAAAAGCATTTTTACCGTTAAATCCTTCAAATCCACTTATAAATCTTAATTTTAAAATACAACATATGTGCTTACTGCTTTTCACTGGGCTCTATCATTAATGTCTTCAACTTCATTTCAAATACAGAGGAGGAGCTACTTCAAAATTGGAAGATGCCTGTGACTTATATCAACGCGCTGGCAATTCATTCAAAATGGCCAAGAAATGGAGCGGTAAGCCTGGCAAAATATGCTCATCTATATTAAATTGTTTCTGCTAGATCAAATTACATCAGTAATACAATATTTTGCTATGCAACCTGATTGAATCTATATGGCACTAAAGTCACTAGAGATATATAACCTCTATGTGCTTGGTAATATTACCTTTACAGAGGCCGCTGGAGCATTTTGCGAAGCTGCACGGCTCAAAATCCATCTTCAAAGTCGGCATGAGGCTGCATCCTTCTTCGTAGATGCTGCAACATGTTTTAAGAAATCTGAACCTGAAAGTATGTACGCTTGGCTAATTTGTTATCTACAGCTATATTGCAAATACCTTTCTCATAACATACGTACGATCTTATGTTGATTATCTTCCAACAGAGGCTATCGAATCTCTTAATAAAGCCGTCGAAATCTTTACGGACATGGTAAATAATATTATTTATAATAATTGCAACAGAAAGCGAAAGCAATAAGAAAATTATCATTCAAATCATAGTAATTATAAATAATATCAGTAGTATGTACAACATATCATCGTATACCCCGCAGTATAATAAATATTTGTTCACTATATGGCATCCAGGGAAGATTCAGTATCGCTGCAAAGCATCACATATCAATTGCTGAGATTTACGAAAATGAACTAACGGAAGTAGACAAGGTTTGATTTCGCGTTGCCATAACTTATTTTCGCTACGTAATTTTCAAAATAGATATGAACTTATGCTAATTCGAAGTCATCAACCATCTATGTCATAGCGCAATATATACGATTTGTTAGTAAATAACCATGCTTTCGTAGGCAATGGCAAATTATGAAAAAGCAGCAGATTATTACAGAGGAGAAGATTCAACCAGGTGTGTATCTCTCGTTGTCAAGCGATGTATGTTTCTAACCATGTACCTATCGAAAACCGTTTAAAACTAGACAAACAGCATTTTTAATACAACTGCCTGAGTACAGTAAAGACTCGGTGTAAATTCTATAATAAATTAATACCCATGTTGAAATATCATAACGACTAGTTCAGCAAACAAGTGCCTACTTCGCGTAGCTATGTATGCAGCTCAATTAGAAGATTATCGAAAGGCTATTGAGATATACGAAGAGGTCAGTAATTTTGATATAATAAAAAGCTGTAGTTCCTGTTATCGCACATACTTTTAATGGATGTGTGGTTGTATTGAGATATAAATCTAATTGAATTAGTATGATATTTGATAAAAGGCTAATTAATTTAATCGTTATCAACGATAATTTATAGATATTGTAACCATGGTTTATTAATCCGTTATTATTTGGTGTAGTAGTGTATAAAATTTTGAAGATTATTACGATTTGTATGGCTTATTTTTAAATTATTCATCTTACCTTAAGAAATGTTGAGCATATTTACGGTTGATTTATTATCATAAACTACTGTACAAGACATCATTAGTTCTGAATGTCGAAATGGCATATCATGTATTGTGTTAGATATCATCGTAATAATTTCAAGTTTCAATCATAGGTAGCGGCTGCTAGCCTGGAAAATACTTTATTAAAATATAGCTGCAAGGAGTACTTCTTCAAAGCCTCCTTATGTCATATGTGCCAAGATTTTCTGGATGCTAAGGTAGGAAGCAATTCGTTATAACTACTGTCTGTACGTACTGGTTAAAATTCAAAATTACATTTTACATAGCATGCGGCTGAAAAATATTGTGGAATGTATCCAGCGTTTCAAGACTCTAGAGAATGCAAATTAATTGAGGTTGGTATGCTCGGCAAAAAATGATGGAATGAAGAAAAGCTACCAATTTCTGTCTTTTAATGTCCCGGATTAATCCACCTGATTTATGCTAATAGTTAATTTTGTTATCTAATTTATCAAAGAAACTTATTTGTGCTGGTGAAGAAGAAAATGTTGATGAATTTACTGATCACGTAAGTAATTATTACTGTCTAACGCAACATGGTATGCAAAAGGGCTTTTTTGTCGTATCAGCTACTTACAATCCTTAACACTTGATAACTTTATATCAATAAATTGCTTTTTGCTAAGCTGCTAACTGTCAAATGTAATACCGCTCTTTACAGATCAAAGATTATGATAAAATATCACGCCTTGACCAATGGACCACGACATTACTATTACGGATCAAAAAGCGATTAGGCGAAGAACCTGAGTTAAATTAATTTAATTAATCCATATTAATCTTTAAATTTTAGCAACCAAAAATATATATCCGATTCTTGGTTTGCAATAACTTGTTAGTGAGGATGATTTTAGAAGGCGATGATAATAATTACAATTTTTAATGTAGAGAATACAGTTACGCTAACACAGTCATGTAACAAATCTTTCCTGATACTTTTATCTCAGATATGTTAAAGGATTAAATAGACTCTATAATCAAATATCGATATCGCTATCGTTCTCTTGGATCATTTGTTTTTGTCGTATTATGTAAACTTATTACAGATCGATACGTATAATCAATAAAGGGTTTTTGAATGTATTTCTTGTATTGAGGCTTATTAACAGTAATTAATTATATACGTATAATTATTTTCCTGTCAACAGTATAATGCATTCTATCTACTTTGTCTATTGCTCTGTTCTCGTCTTCAAATGCCTGACTAAAGTATCATGATGCATGCCTATACCACAAGTGTTATTCTTATGTTTATATAAGGTATTGCAAAATGCTTCGAAAAGATTGAAGCATTTAGCGTAAATGCTGTACATAGACATACTGCACGACAGGTATAACAGTAAATAAATAAAATCACTACTACATCATAAAAGAGAGTTATAATAATTTTGCAACAGAATTTGATTATTTAAATAGTTTAAAAACCAATTAAGTTACTAAATGTGGCTATTGCAATATCAGCTGATATTTCTTAAGATTTTATTAACAGTTAATAGCGACTGCTTTGTACTAGATTTTCAATAAATCGACGATCTTAGGGTGTGCAATAGACGCGTAAGTATCTTCAATTTCCTTACGATCTTACAAAAGTTTATCGTCTTTTTGTTGTGATTACGGCGTTTTTTTTTTTATCGAATATAAGGTCATTATTTATCGATAGTACAGATGCGTCTAGTATCTAAAAAGATAAATGAAGGGTCTTACCTAGCATCATCATCAAAATAATAACATATCTACCTTATGCTGTACTTTTTCTCTACATTGACTCATCAGATCTATAAATTTCACCTTCAACTTGTGTTAAAATGGAAAAAACAACTTAGTAATGAAAATTTTTATAGAACGAATGGAGACTCTCACAATGTTATAATTATCATTCTGATAATGGATAAATTTATGTCGTAATTTGTGCTTGTATTCGCTCATCAGATCTGTAAATTTCGTGATTAATTTGTATTAATGTGAATACATTGGCTAGTTGTAGAATTTCATATAATAAATGAAAACTCTTTAATTGACAAGTATATGACGTACTTTTTTATGCATCTTCGTATATCGAATGCATAAATTTTATGATGAGTCTATTAAAACGAATAAACCGATTAGTGATAAATTTTATATATTACATAATCGCTATTTGACGTAACTGGACGATAAGTATGAAAAGATGGCATTGACAGACAATACTAAAGAGAAAATTATCAAATCATTTATTAGGAAATGACGTCAAAAATGATAATAATTATTTTATAACAATTATTTCATGATACTTTATTAGGCTATGGCGGTTATCGTTTCAATTTCGTCAATTATAACTATATTATTACCTCTTTCTTGCCAAAATGGTGCATCTTGTACAATACAGTAAAAATGCTTGCAACATTTTTGCTCATTTACATCATTTGGGCTTGGTAAGAACTATTGATTATATCAGTATGTATATATATAGTGAGATAGGACAGCGTAACAAAAATTTCGAAGCTATTGATGTAAACATGTGTTGTAATTAGCAACTAGTCACTTCTGACGTTTAATTATTTTAACGTCTAACACACTGTTTTGAGTAAAATGAGCCATAGTAGGGTATTTATCGTACTTCATTCACTGTTAAAGACTAATTGCAACTAGCAGTTGCTGTATAATTCGATATGGATGCAATTAAGATCTTCAATTGGTTGAAGTATATCGAATTCTATTACTCATTTTTTTTCGTTACAAATTTATTAATCTATTCATGATCAATCTTGTTGTATGCAATTTGCATACCAGTCTAGAGTAGTATGTACAAAGGATTATCTTTGCTTCATCAAAATAGTCGCTTGGAAAAACTACGGGTATGCATCACGTAAACTTCAGCAAATGAGCAGGAACGTCTTAAGTAGAAGATTATGCATATTACCATAGATGCTTAATAATGCGTATTACGCAATCAATTGGAAAGGGATGGAAAGTGATGGAAAATAATATAGAATGGAGTGTCAATGCTCTACTTGATTTAATTATCACTGATATGGATTCTATCAGGCAAGAAAAACTAGTATCGATAGCACAGAGTCACGTTACTTATTTTTCATAATAAATTTATAGAAGGAAATTCTACTGTCATATTTTGTAGACTGATTATCGCTTTTGTATTTAAAAATATGCAGATATATACTTTACCATGTACTTCCACAATTGAGTCAAAACTCTTATTCAGAAGATGAATATTACCATAGTTGTTCAATTCTATTATGCAACCAATTGGGCCTACTATAAGTGAATGGAAAAGAGGAAAATAATGTAGAATATAGTGTCAATGCTCTAAACTTGATTCAATTATCACTGGTATGGATTCTATTAGGCAAGGAACAGTTGGCATCTGTAGTATTAAGTTACGTCATTTATTTCCATAATGAAATTATAGTAGGAAGTTTTGGTATCGTATTTTGTTGACCAATTATCGCTTTTCCATTTAAACTTATGCAGATATACGCGTATACTGTATTTAGACATAATGTATAACAGTAGGATATTTCGTAGAACAATTGAAATGATTTATAGACCAAGAAAATATCTTTCGCTAACAGTCTGTCATTTATTGCTAGCTGATGCTGCAGATGTCAATCATTAATAACAGGATATTTCGGTTTCTTTAATCTCTTTGTTATAAGATGTACAATTGCATAAATGAATAAAATTTCTAAAAATTTGGTGCATCCCTCTTCCCCAAAGTGAAAATTTTTTCAGCAGTCTAGGAGTAATAGGGCAAATAATGAAGGAAAGGAAGCATCATTTTATAAATTGCATCAATAGTTTATATTAGATTAAAAGTATATACTCGATCTATCTCCTATTGGTCAAATAGCCTATTTTAATTTTTATATTAATAGCGATAAAAAAGTTCAATTTATCCATCATTTTTTCAAATTTTTTCCTTCTATTTCGACGACTTTTTAAGTACAGATGGTATTAGTCTGTAAAGCAAATAATGTAAATCAGCTCATTTTTTATTTTGTATTTAGACAAAGTTACTCCATAGTGCCTAAGCAGTGGCAATTAATATTTTGATTCTCTTTTTAACGAGACTCCTGATTATATTATCTACAAAACATATTGTTGGAATAATTCATTTCATTGAAAAAAATCTTTCGATTTCTAATTTCTTGGTCATTACAGTTGTACTGTAGATCAATGTCTTCTAAGACGGTGTAAGGTGTAATATGGGTAAAATATTATATTTTAATTTTCTTATAATTTCTAAAACATTCTATTGGATCTAAACATTGATACGAATTGTTCTTCTAGTTAAGTCATTGGCTATTATTTTCTTGATTTTAATTGACATGATAATAGGATTAAGAAAAAATTGATTATGACGAATCCTAATAAACATTTAGAATTACGGGATTGCTTTTGTAGGTATCGGACACTCTTAGGAGATAAGTCAGCGATGAAAAGTTTCCATTTTTCTATCCTTTATTGACATTTTATAACCTGGGTCCACTACTAATAAGCGCTACTGTTATCTTTATCATTATAACCCAATCAAGTTAAGGATAATTTTAGTATTAATGGTATTAACCAAATTTGAAATTATCTATTACAAATCACAAGCCTAAAATTCCAGGTGTATTCCAGCAATTATAATGCTAAAAATAATTCATTTTAACGGTAATAATAAACGATAGAAAACTGGATAGTCTGTTATTATTGGCTTTCTTGATCGTTGAGATTGTCCCGTTTACAATACTGTATGCATGTATAACTATACAATCGATGATAGAAGATACACCTATCGATATACCCATAGCTAACTTTTCAATTGCTACTAGACTATTATATGCAGTTCTATATATAAAGTCGGCTTTAACCTATCCTTCCGTCTATACTATTGTTTGTGTCTACTATAATCTATTTTTCTTCTATGGAATTTCAAAGCTGTCTATGGCTTTCTCATCCGTGATGCTATACCATAACATGGTTCAAAAAAAAAAGGAAAAAATGCTCATCATGTACAGCATTATGGCGTAGAATAATAATCAAACAGTAGCTAAATCTCACTGTACGGTAGCTAAATATACAATTAGTGGATAAATAATTTAAACATCTATTGGCAAGATATTACATAATTGAATTGTTTCTCTCACTTATTTGATTCGCTGATACCGTAATCCATTTTTACAATATCCGCATCTGTTTTAGGGCTTTATTTTTATCGATAACATTTTTGTGTGTATTGTTGCAAGCTCAGGATGCGAATATGGAAACCCCAATATTACTACCGTATCAACTCTTGCTTTTTAAATTGACTACGTTATTACTGTTATGAACTAGATAGTAACCATCCAAAGCGTGATCAATATGTTAGTTATCCATCCATTGCCGCTACTTAGCAAATAGGATGAGGAAAATTGTGTTGATATCGGACTTTAACGCATCAATTAGGGGGAAAATGAAACTTTTCTACTTTATCCCATTGTGTATAGGGATGAAAAAGTACTCTTTCATGATTAGGATAGGATACTATGCTCGATTTTTGAAGGACAGCATGGTATACTATACTCTTTCATTGCTCTACTATTTAGTACACGAGTCCTTACGCTCAACTCGCTTATTTTTGACTCGGTAGCAAGCCATTGTTGCCCCCCCCCTAAAGAATAATCTAACAAACTGTTCTAGACATTGAGTTACCGTGATACTGTACACTGAACGATATACCATTGACAATGTCGTTTACAGCTATAAGGAGACCCTAAAGTCTGTGAATGAAGAGTTATT